TCGCGGTTAATCGTTACATCCCTACTTCTCATGCATTTGTCTTACGTGGACGACCAGCCTTTTAGGGGGACTTGAATTAGTGTCATTGTAAAGCTGCAATATTCTAGAAATCACAGATGTGGAATGACCAGCTTCTCTTGCAGTGGCTGAAAGGGTCGTCTCTTTGGTCTTCATTTGGACAACCTCCTGTTGCAGGGTTCTTTATCTTTAAAACTGTCAAGTCTGTACACCAGGCTTTGTTGATTTAAAAACATAATCCACCGCCTGTCGTTTTTCCCAACGACTTGGTGACGTGATCTGCTCTGAACAGCTGGAAGCCCGTTAGATGAAGCGAGCTGCCCGGGATGGCTCCAGTCAACCAGGTTTCTGTGAAGCAAAGTGGAGCAGAGTTTAAAAAGTCCATGTTTGTGCGGCTGAGGAGTAGTGGTTCGTCTGTTTTATTTGCTATGGAGTGGAGATTTGACAGACAAATACTTGGCAGCGGAGTCCCAAAACCGCGCTTCCACCAGTACGCTTCCCTCGTTTGCAGTGCTTGTATAGGAATGCAGCTCCTCCGACTAGAATGTCCAGTAAAACGTCTGAATGCTCAAAAGTCAGCAAAAAGTTATTTGGTGTGCTATATCTGATGTTTAGGAGTTCGTCCCTAGTAAATCTGATCGGAAAAAAAGTTACTTAAAACAGGACAAAGAAACAAAAATAGTAAAAGTACCAAGGAGCTACAAACCGAAGCAGCCATGCACGGCACCATCTTGTTTCAAGTTTAACATCTTCCACAAATAGCACTGATGCCACGCTAAGGCCCCTACACTGGACTCCACCCCTCGACTGTACCTTGGTCCATGAATACCTCAAACTGTATCGGAGACAAGGGACAGCTTTGGAAGAGTGCAACACTCACTGGGAAAAAGCTTGACTTACTACAGAGAATGTAGACACATCTCTCCCACTGGATGTATAGGGACCGTATGGCACACAAAAGCAGCCCCATTACCCCATACTCCCATAGTGGCCCCCACAAGACCCCCTGAGGAACATGGTCGTAAGTCTTCTCCAAGTCCACAAAACACATGTAGACTGGACAGGCAATGGCCTTCAGTATCTCAGAGCGAATCTTGTCCATTACCAGCACCTCGGCACTTCAAAGCTTTTTATCTTCTTACAAGGAAACCAGAGTCCTCCAACCCTGCCTCTTCTTGTGAGGGCACGTCCTCAGGGTTCAGAAGATACTCAAAATGACTATATCACCAGTCTAGACTTACAGGAGTCTTCCCCAGCACAATCCATCTCAGAGTCCGACCAAAAGTCCTTCCATGGCTTCTGCTGCAGCTGCAGTCCTTCTGGATTGATGAAATCTGTCAACAAAATTGAGGACCCACGGGTTTCTCCTTATTCAAAATCCTCCCCAAATAATTTTTTTTGTATATATATATATTTATATATAAATATATATTTTTATATTTAAAAGTGAATTTACAGTTAAAGGCTTAATTGCACATGCCATCAAATCATTCTTAAACACAATATTCACAACATTGGAACTCAAAACCATTAAATGTAATTCCACATGTCACAATGTCTCCTGTGCTTCGCTGTCTGAAGGTCATCTGACAGGTCAACATATTGTCATGGCAACAAGCTGATTTGCTCAAAGACATTCTAGAATAGAAGTACTGACAAATGGAATGACTGTCAA